TACTATCTGTCCTAATAAGGCTTGTTTAAATACACTCAGTTGATATTTTCTTCCATCTTTATCTGGACTGTGCAAATATGTAAGAGAACATGGAAATGAAAATAATGGCACTAAAATAAAATCCTGTTTAAGTTTCTTTACATAAATTGACGGTATAGCCTCACTACTGCCATAATCCATAAACCAAATTTTTACTTGATTATTGGGCAAGAGCTGCTGAAGAATTCCTCTATGCCACTGTCCATTCATCCTTTTGGCAACACAAAGTAGTCCAAAATTATCACATGTGGGACCTGTTTCTTGACTAATAGTATCATAATGCAAAGTCATACACATTGTCAAGTTTTCTAGCTCTGGAATCCATTTAATTAATTGACAATAAAATTTACTTGGGCTCAGTGCAGATGATATCTTTACACTTTCAGTACTTCCTACTGCCAAATATGGCTGCAAATTATCCAGAACATGTTGAATATCAAGTGAAGTATCATTATTACTTAATGACAATTCAGGTCTTTTATGTTGTAATAAATCTGGCATTTGTTGAGGAAATTCTTTTAACATTTCCACAATAAGACGAAATGAATCTCCATCAATAAGTCTTCCTAATTGAAAGTCAAGAACCTGGGATATAATTTTTGGCACTTCAAGAAGAACCAATTGTAGGGGCAAAATAGCTTGCACATAACCTTTCACATGTATTCCTACTAATGACTTAAAGTAATTCAAAGCCTTAGGAGACCATTTTTCCCCAATTGGTAGTACGTTGGCAAAAATACCAAATATTATCCGTGATGGTAGTTCAAATAAATTGCTGCATGCTGAAGCAACCTGCGTACTATCAACCCTTAGTTCTTCTCCACGGTCTATAAGAAGCACTGTATAAAGTTCATTTTTTTTTTCCACAACTCTTCCTCTCTGCCATTCTCCAGATACTTTTTCTTCAACCAAACAAAATTCATCAATGTCCACATTATTTTTCATTTTTGGAATATGTTGTATTTCCCTCTGCAATATGTGGTAGTCAAACTCACATTCATTAGTATTTCTGCCTTGAAATTTCACCAGGACATCCTTGGGAAGACATTCAATATGTGATACTGTCAAATCCACATCTAAAAATGTTGGTAAGAGAGATGCAGAATCCATTTTCTAAAAAGGAAATAAGTACTAATTAGCTTCCACACAGACAGCTGTCAAAATTAAACACAATTAGCCTTACATTAATTTGGTATGTAAATATACACCTAAAAATAATTCTATGCCCCATTTTCAAATTAAACATGTTTTTTAAAAATTATATACACTAAACATGATATTTCTGAGATAAATAAAATTTAACTGTTCGCTGCTTTCTATATTTTTAAAAATTTCCATTGAAATAACCAAGAAATAGTGGGGTTCAAAATGGCTAACTAGATGCAGCTGGGGAACACATATTCCTCTGAAAGGAACCAAAATATCAAGTTGATATCCACACTTCAATTAGATTGTTTGGAAAAGAACACTGAAATATAGAGAGGTGATGGGAGACACTATGGGTGAAGGAAGGGGAAGTTCATAGTGTTAAATGCCTACATCAAAAAAGATAGAAAGATCACAAATTAATCTAAGCTCACATCTCAAGGAACTAGAAAAACAAGAATAAACTAAAACCAAAACTAGAAGAAAAAAACAAAGATCAGAGCAGAAGTAAACAAAATAGAGACCAAAAAAAAAAAAACAAAAATAAAGGATTAATGAAAAGTTAAAAGAATAGTTAGCTAGATTAACCAAGCGATAAAATTCAAATAAGCACAAACAGAAACAAAAGAGGAGGCATTACCACTGATACTATAGAAATACAAAAGATCATCTGAGACTACTATAAACATCTCTATACTCATAAACTAGAAAATCTAGAGGAAATGGATAAATTCCTGGAAACATACAACCCTCCAAGTTTGAATCAGGAAGAAACAGAAATCCTGAGCAAATGAATAATGAGTAGTAAAGCTGAATAAGTAACAAAAATACTCCTCCCTGCCCGCCCCCAAAAAAGCCAAGGACCAGATGAATTTACAGCCAAATTCTACCAGA